GAGGTGAAGAGAAACTGCATTCCTGGCGGGCAAGAAACGCCGACTTGTTTGGCCAAACAATTTAGCTGCGAAGTGGTTTAGGCTTGATGTCACGCTTTTTATTCTTGGGCACACACCCGTACCGCTGTAACCGCAGCTACGCGCTGACGTTGCTGGGGAAACTGTGCAACTAACGATCGGAGAAATTTGAAGCAACATTGGAGGTATTTTCAAATACCTGTAGTGCTTACTTTGTGGAATAAAAGCACAAATACATGGTGTAAAGTTGTTGAAAGTGTTCAAAAAGATAGGTGAGATGTCCATGTAGATAAATAAGTGTTCAAAAGCCCGATAACTTTGCGTTTTGCGATTCATTTTTCATGGGGACAGGTGGTAACAGGTCGTAGTTGGTATTTCCAGCCGACAATGTGCTATAGCCCTGCGGCAGTTTATCGAACGCGGGCTATAGTACTAGAGCTATAGTAACTATAGCCCGCGTACAGTTGCCGCAGGCGTCCACTGATGTTTACAATGTGATTTTCAGGTTATCTGGAGTATTATCAATGGTTCATTCTGCTCATTCAAGACACAGTAAGTAATTATGTATAAAAATATGTAATTAATGTTAATGTGATTGTTGTATGAGGAAATATGTCATCACATGTATCAGAGCATGTATTTTGGCACATTTGTAACATATTTGCTTATTATTTAAATTATCGCAATGGCAAAAGTACTGATATCATATCATTATGCAGAATATATTTAGGTTATTTTTATAGCTTTAAAGAAGCAAATGTACTGCCATCTTTTAAATGTATCGCAGTATAATTTCTAATTAGGTTTTGTATTTTAGGACAAAAACACAGAAATTTTGCAGAAATGAATACAATTTGACTGGCTTGTGTACACGTTCCGCCTGTCCATTGGCGAATAGCCAATATGCCACAATACGAGAAGAAAATGGTATTGAACTATTTATTCCTATAGAATAGCTATTAATTTATGTAACATTAGTGTACATGACTACTCTGACATAAGCTATATATTTATGAAATGATTGATCTTATCTGATTATTCAATAATTATGTTATAATAATGATTAATAATTAGTATAATATAAGTATATATTAGTAATTTTTAATACAAGTTAATAAAATGGCCATTTATTAAGTAATTTCCACTAATCCCTCCCTTTCAGCTATTTGAAGTTCCGTGTTTTGGGGGTATTTTTAGGCATTTGCTACCTGTACATGAAGACGATAGAGAGAAGCCATTTCCCTGCGAAGCTGTGGGAAAAGGTGAAGCTTAGTCGTAGCTACCAGCGATCGTTGGAACAGATTGATGAGAATTTGCTCTACTGGCCGGGATGGATCCGACACAAGTGCAAGCAACGCTTCACCAAAATCACACAGTATCTGATCCGCATGAGGAAGCTGCGTCTGAAGAGACAGTACATATCTTTATTGGTCGTGGTTACGAACCGATGGGTTGGGAAATGACTGCTTGATCAGTGTATCTCTAGTCTCTACCATCTAACTGGGGGAGAAAATATTGAAATAATGCATTGTCATGTAATCTAGACCATTTATTCACTGGTATCATGTAAAACCCCATATAACAGGAACTGATAAGATTATATTACTACTAACACTCAAACCTACAAGCAAATTCTGGCAGTTGAACAATCAAAAACAAGTAATGTGTCCACTTGCTTCCATACTGCTACCAAATCACTCTAATTTAATAAAAATGCTAGTCACTGTCATGTTGTATGCCAACCATGGTCCTTGATTGTAAATTAGGGAGACATATGCACGTGCGCATGCCCACCTGTGGGAAACGTGTGCACGCACACAATGCTTAGTTGGGTTAATGCAATTCCATCTCTAGTCACCAAATCCCCAAGCATACCAACACACAGCAAGTTGCCATGCTGATAGTAATGTTGAATCATGAGGAATCAAAACAGCCATGCTATTGGTACTAGGGTGACCCTACACTAAACACTGATGATGCAGTCCAAGGGGGTGGAGCAGGTAGTCGAGATAGTGGAGATAAGATAATAGTTCAACATAGGCACCTCTTTATGAATGACCAGGTTGTAGGCCTGTTAGTTGTCTTGTGCTGTACTGCACCTGATATTCTTTGCATGGTTGCTGTTTTTCGTAGAAAGAAACTGGTTCCAGTGCAGAAGAAGGTGGAGAGGCGAGAGAAGCGACGAGAAGAAAAAGCATTGATTGCAGCCAGGTTGGATCAAGCTATTGAGAAGGAGTTGCTGGATAGGTTGCGCGCAGGCACTGTGAGCATTTAATTTCAGACACATAAACTTACTAGGCTAGAGCCGTGTTTGAGAGAGCAGCTCAAAACCCACAAATACCAGTAATGTATATATGTTGTAAAACCTTTGGTTAATTTTTGGATTCCAATTTTTGCAGTCAAGCCAATTTACTTGGTTTGATGTTTTTCTACTTGTGTCACAGAGGTATACGTTGTAGTAATCAGTGTGTTTTTCAATCAAACTGGTGACTCTTCCTGAATTTTTTATCCGACTTTATGCTTTGTCTTATAGTATGGAGACATATACAACTTTCCTCAACATGCCTTTGACAAAGCATTGAAATCTGAAGAGATGGAGAGCGAGAGTGAAGCTGAGGAAGATGAGGAGAAGAAGGCAGATGATGAGGCAAGTACACGTGTGATGAATACACCAGAATGGATATGGGTTATTGCTGTGTAAGAACAAAAGTTTTAAACAACACACATTTCACATGGGTTGTAATTACTATTGCAGTGGCAATGTGGGTTATATTAACCTAGTCTATATGTGCATGGGTAAACAGCACAGAGGCTGTGATTTTAATCAATATCTTTACTACTGATTGCAATGATTCACATTACACCATGCTTACAGTGGGAAAATTGAGTATATCATGTAAATAATCCATATTTTAGATGACAAATAATATTGACAGCTATTGTATTGTTTTGTTTTTTTATCATTATTTTTATTTTGGAATCCATACTCAGTTTTGAAATTAATTTCAATTGAGCTAATATTTAACTGAGTCATCTGACTCATGTGGGATTAACTGTCCCTAATGCTGAAGTCTAAGATTTCACATCCTAAGAATATTCACCTCTTTTACCTAGGTTTGATCCCACAGCAAGGAAACGTGAACATGAATGATATTTGCAACAGATGGCACCACTGCTGGTGAAGCATTGATGTCTTAATTTATACCATCAATATCAGTTTTTTTCATTTCATTCATACAGGATGTTGGAAAGGTAACATATGTGGCAGATGAGGACTTTGAACAGAGTGATCTTTCTGATATAGAGGTAAATTTCTTTTGTGATATAATATACAATTTTTGTCTTTATGATTGTAAAATAAAATATCTGCGGTTTAAAAAAGAATGTATCTAGTTATTAAAGATCAAAGAGAGAAAAAATAGTGTAATGGAACCTTCTGTTGTGAACACACAGTGTGTTTGATGTGTTATTTTATGCCTAATATTAGATGCTTTAAGATGATTGTCTATGGCAAGGTGGTGTATGAATTGCTACACTTGCTAATAGAGCACTCCTAATAATTAAGCGATTCGTCGCTGTAGCAAAGAGCACCATTGCATTATGGTAATTTCCACACAGGACATGGAGGCTGAGTCGACGTCTGAGGAAGAAGAGCAAGAGCTTGTGAAGTCAAGGAGAAAGAGACCACAAGTAGAAATAGAATATGAACAGGAGTTAGATCAACCGTCAACATCCAAACTTAAAATGAAAACTAAATAGCATCATTATACAAGTATTAGGCAAACCAACAACAATTTGTTATGATCTCTGAACATAATAAATGTATTTTATAATATTTTAACCTGTTTGATGTAAGTACAGGCCTGTGCCAATAGCATTTGTGGCGCTTCCTATCAGCCTTTTGGTGGTCATTAATGTCAATCCTTCATCCTGAACTTATTCATTTTAACTGGTGGAAATTCGTAGTGTCCAAAAGATCCTTTTTTAGGAGGGTTTAGCTAAAAGATGGACTATTTGTTAGAGTGCCATATGAAAAGTCAGTAATTATTCATACAAGGCAGTCTCAGTAGTTGTGACCTTATATAAATCATGCCTATGAAACTTGTAGTTTCCTTTTTGAGTAAAATAAGCCATCACTTCAACAAAGTTTCTTAAAACCTCATACTTTATCAATCTATCCAAATAGTAATGATCTATAATTGTATTCATCGTAACTAATATTTAAGTGTCCATGGTATTGCTTCACTGCCTTAAATATGAATAACCTGGCTTGTATGTTTACCCACTCATATCAACAACATGACATTGTCAGGAAACAATGAATTATGACAATATATGTAAAAGGTGTAATTCAGATGAACAAAAACATTTTATTGAACATTGTACGTCTCTGAGGTTCAATGATATAATCTTTTAAACTTCCAACAGTACATTAACATTTGTTGTGCTCCAATTTAGCTTCAAGATATGAAAAACTGCTCGTAGACATTTTTACTCGTAGAAAAGATTCAGTAGCGAGAATTCATATGTAGACCTTGCATATTCTCTGAAGGTGACCACTGACTAAAGCAGTACCACATGTCCTTCAACACAGTGTAGGTAGAATTAATTTACAGCTAAAAATATCCTAGTGATGCTCTTGACCATGGTTTACTTCGTTGCTGGTGGTACAGCGTCCATCTTGCTTGGCTTTTTCCTCATCATAAAGTAAGCTGCAACTAGTGCTATGCCTGCATACGTTGCACCAGCCACCTGCAATATAATCACAGTGGTTGAGTCTTGTTCCTTAAAAATCAAATCATCTCAACATCTAGCAAAGTCCACCCATGTGATATTTCTTTAATGTGAGCATGTATATTAAAACACTGACACCATTCAATTCAGCTATAGCTGTGACGTGATTGACAAGGGGTTCTACCCAATCAATATTGTAATAAGAACAATAATGAAAGTGTCAATGACACTGTAGCTAAACTACAAAAAAGGACACAAATGAGTGAGTGAGAAGAAGTCAGTTTTAATTGAGCAACCATCGACGTACATTATAGAAACGAATGGTATATATGGGAGAACTCCCATTATATAACTCTTGATAATTATGTGTAATTTTTTATGTGAAAATAAATGTTTGAGATGTGAAAGTCTGAGAAGTGGGCGAGTGATGGCGTTACACCTAAATGATCGCCATTTAACGTTTTTATAATATTCAGATTTAGGCACTGCCTAAAAGCGGAGCTCCCGATGTGTAACATGTAAGATTGAGAGGATACGCTTATTCCACGTAGCTGCCATATACCACGTGACAATGGTGTTTCCCTGCCCATAACACAACTTTTGTCAAAGGTTAATTAGTTGCATGGAAGTGTTTACTTCGTATGAGTTTTTCTAGGCGGTAGCACACGGTTGCCATCTGTATATCGCAATAATAATTTATAAACCAAAATTATTCACAATTTGTGATGGTAGATGGCGCTGTACCCGCTTTGATCTTTCTTAGCGATGGCGTTCAAAATAAATAGGTTATGCTGCGTTCCGACATGTTTTGTAAAACTTTACTCTAATATAGACGTTTTATCGGCAGGGTGGAGAGGAAATGCCAATTTTGCATTAAAGATATTTTCAATGAAATCTTGTAAAACGAACCAGACGAGTGTGACACCACAGACTGTTATCTGCGCGTCTATAACAATATGCTATATAATTGCCAAAACCTACCTAATTTGCATAATTTAAAAAAAAAAATCAAAACCCCTGGTCCTTATTCATTCACATACCAAAAATGAGCAAAATCTGTTGAACCTGAACTGACTAATGGCAATTCCCATTTTTGCCAAAAAATTGCAGTGGCTCGAAAGTACGTCGACTGGCGTGCTTCAAAATAGGACGTTCAATATGGGAGCATAGCAGTAACAACTATACCCAATTCAAACATGTGGGTCAAACGGTTCCTGAGTTATCGTTGACCGTAGCCAAATGTTAAAAGAAGGACGGACGGACGAACGACGACCCATGCCAATAGCTCATCTTGACGATGTCAAGGTGAGCTAAAAACACTGCTTTGCAATGAAGGGTAGCAAATTGTACGAAAAGTCATCAATTTGCGTGCATGTGTGGGAAACTGATATAAACGGGTCTAGCTATCCAAGAGGCGTGGTTATCTTGCTGAAACTGACAGGTCAATTAGCAGGTTGTTATAGTGCACCAGTTGTATATGTATATGGGAGCATTGTATTGGGTATATATCACTGCGAAAAATGCATAAATTTCAAATGGAAATTGCGAATGATTACCTCGGTTAAGTGAATGTATATTGTAACTGCCATTAACACTCAACACTATATTAGCATATATATTCCTTGTGCTGCTCGAGGTAAAATATACTGACACTTGATTAGATAGAGCAGAAACAATGAAATTATCCCCACTCTTTGTAGGCACTGACAACCTAGCATGCTTCTCCTCTACTGTTTAGATAGATCCCTATCATTTTTGTATAGGAATAATGTGATGAACAAGTAAAAATACACTACCTGCTGTAAGAGGGTGTACTCTGACTGGTCAAAAATGGAACATATTTCCTTTGCCATTATGTTATGTTATGTTATGTCCTACTTGTCAGTGTCCACTATACAGAATACAGCAACAAAATAGTAGGTGCCTTTAGTGAGTGAACCAAAACAACAGGTGCGTGATGAGTAATAACGAGTTAGATGCAGCAATGTGTTTTCCTGAAGTGGCACACGGGAATGTGGGAGAGAAGCTATGGCTTTAAAGTGTCAATGTCTGTTGCTTCCACCACTCCAGATACTGTAGCATCTTAGTGTGCCTTCAGCGAGTCATCCCAAACAACAAGCAAACATGTGCATAATAAAATAATGAAAATTTAGGTGCTGAAATGCGCCTTATAGTGGGGTCTAGTAATGGTCCTATAGTAGCTGTTGCCAGCATATGGAAGTGGACATGGGAATCCAAAGGTTCAACATCCGTTACTTCCTCCACACCCATGGGTAAGCTGTTCCAGATTAGAATCAACAGAATTTTCATGCATTGTTGTTGCAGTGCAAGTCCGAAATTTATAATTTTTTTGATGTGGTGGCTAATAACACCTCAGGGGTCAGATATCCCTCTGTTGGAATTGCTACAAGATGCTTCAAAATCTTACATATCATGATGCTTGAGTTGAAAAGTCTACGCACTAGTGGCTGCCACCTGAGTTGCTCTCTAACAGTAACAGCTGACAAGCTGTTGTCATCTATAGGTGTTAGTAACAAATCTTGCAAACCTTCTTTTGTGCCATCTCTAGCTTGTTTTTGAATTTTTCTAAATGTGGATCCTATAATTATAAATAAACATAAGCAAAATCTTTGCGACTGCCGTGCATGCATTTGCCTCACTATAACTAACTGCATTACCACATACATTTGCTCTCCCTCGCCTTGTTTCTCCATTGAAGTACCGAGCAAGTCCAGTGAATTTCGCTTCGTCAACAGCACTGTGTCCTGCCATCCTAGTCACTGTGAAATCTGAAAACCGTAGTAGCCGCATAGTATGTGAAAATCAATGTACTGAAACCTAGTTGCATCATGCATGTAACGATAGTGTTGCATTGAAGGACCTGCGATATATATATATAGTAGCAGGATACCCGGCGTTGCACGGGGAAATCAGTGGCGTTACTCAGTTGGTGACTGCTTGGGTGAAAGGAAAATGCCCCAAAAAATCTAACTATCTATCTAACCATGCATCCATCCATCCATCCCATTCCATCCAATTGCACCGCATCCCATCCCATATCCCATGCCATGTCATCCCATGCCATCCCAGCCCATCCCATCCCAAACAGTAAAAAATAATAAGAAATCAAAAGACAAAAGACATTAAAAATAAAAATAATTAATAAATTAAAAAAATAATTAATTAAATAAGTTAATAAATTAACAAGAGCCGCAGAGCGTCTGGGCTCATCTGAGGTCTGTTGCTACGATTATAAACGTAAAATTTCAGTCGTGCGTAGTACCACATTTGTTAGGCGCAGATATCAGACACGCAGTTGCGTACACATTGTTTAGGACATGCCCACTATCGCAGATGGAGGGTAGAGGGAGGGGGGGGAGGGGGTGGGGAAGGGCGGGAGAGGGAGGGGTGGGGGGGAGGGGGCTCTAATAGCAAAAGCAGTTCACTCCTTTGTTAACAGTCAACAAATCCATGTTTAACCCTCCTCTTGAGGTCAAAAGGTATCCGACACTTACTCTTTCGCATGTCAGCAGAAAGGGACATTTCATGGTCCTTTCAATAAAGCCAATAAAATGCTAGGTCACGCTGAAACAACAAGTTTTTTCAATCGCTCCGTCAGACCATGTCCTCAGAAAAATGTCTAAAAATCTGCCCTGTGCCGCATTGACGCTTTGACCTGTGACCTCCATTTCGGCACAGTGGATGGCTTTTCCTACCATGATGCTTACACCGACTATTCACGAGCCTAGGTCGCGCGCGCGTTTAGATTTGTGCCGCAATTCTGCATTTCCTCCCTATATACCTTAAGTTAAGGAGTGAATGTTCCCCCTTATTTACAGCTCTTGACCTTTGACCTTTGACACCCAGCTTCGACATCCCAACTCGTTTCGGATTACCGCCCCACGTCCGCGAATATCGTGACCGTACGTCGAGCGGGTTATAGATTTGTGCGCCAACTGTTGACGGCCGCACGACGCACGGACGATCATTGCGATTCTACAAGCTGCATCTGACTATGTCAGATGAGCTAAAAATAAATAAACAGTGCCCGCGGAGCGACAGCGCTCATCTACAACGTCTACTGCTGTGACTCTGTGGTGGAGTGGTGGGATTCTAAGTAAACCCTGTTGATCCCAATGTGTTCACATACACGCCGAAACAGTGGAAGGCACAGGGATGGTCTCAGGAACCTTCTCAAAAGAATGTTCGTTGGAATCGTTATGAAAGTTTGCCACGAGAATGGGCGCGTACTTTTAAGTGTCTTAAGGTTAAATAGAAGCTCCCATCGTACATAGTAGCAACAACTATTTGCAAGACAGAATAGGTAAGCACTCATCCATTTACCTATGCAAGCCTAAAGGCTGAAATAGAGAGCTGCCACCTGTAACTATAATTAACGCAGGCAAAAACTACACACTCAGTAATATTCACCAACCACATGCACTGGCAGTGGCCACTGGCAGTGGCATACGTTACATGTAACACACATGACAGTACAGAATGCTCACTAGAATTATACGATTTAAGGAGCATAAACCTTCTCCACAACCAAATTAGCTTTGGAAATTTCACTGTGACATTGTAGCCTCATACATCCAGGCATGTATAGATTCTACTCACAAATTCTTTCTAACAGACAGTAAACAAATCCATGTTTAACCTTCCTCTTGAGGTTCAAAAGTTATTCGACACTTACTCTTCGCATATCAGGCAGAAAGTACATTTCATGGTCCTTTCAATAAAGCTATAAAAATCCTATGTCACGCGCTGAAACACAAAAAGTTTTTCAATCGCTCGTCAGACAATGTCCTCAGAAAATGTCTAAAATCTGCCCTGTGCCCATTGACCTGTGACCTCCAATTGCGGCACAGTGATGGCTTTTCCTACATGATGCTATACACGACTATCACGAGCCTAGGCGAAGCCGTTTAGATTTGTGCCGCAATTCTGCTTTCCTCCGTAATACCTTAAGTTAAGGAGGAAAGTTCCCCCTTCTTTACACCTCTTGACCTGTTGACTTTGACCCCAGCTTCGACATACCAACTCGTTTTGACGATCCCCAACGTCCCGAATGTTCGTGCGCCTCACACCCCACGATAACCCTGCGATATATAAACTTATTGCTTTATGCGTCATGGAAACACTGGCCAGCACTACATGCCGCTGCCCAATCGATTTCTTAGACTGTCTGCGAGTTTTTGTTCGTGTGGCGAATCATGCGTTGAGGAGATCATGCAGCTTGCTAGATGTTTTGGATACCCGTCTACGTTGAGAACGAGTCGTATTATGCGCTCCCGTTTACATGTCTGTCTAAACTCCGTTGCGCTAAACCGTAATATTTCAGCGTAATATGAGGGGAAAAAGTGCCGGTCAGGAAGACCGACAGTTTCGTAGAGATGGTGGCCCGAGCAAAAACTTGGTGGGCTCGAGCCTCCGGGTCGGAACTAATTTCGAACGCTGCCGGCGGCACGGGAGCAATTTTTCTTGTATCTTCCAAAATTTTCGCTCGTCGTAATTGTTGTTACCAGAGCGCTTTGGAAGGCTTGACGGGAGGAAATTGCTCGCCGCTCCGTGTATTTTTTTTCGCTGACTCAACCGCACACGCTTCGAGATAACCAGCCTGGAGATTCAGGCGGCTTGGCTCGCCTGCTAGCTAAAGACAGGCAGGCGCATAGATCTACAAGAATTATAGAACAACTAAAATTGTCTCCATTACTACCCATGAGAATATCAGATGCTTATATTTACATACAAACATAGTCCACAAATTGCAGACGTTAATAACTCCGCTTTGCTAATCTGGAGGTGCGGGTTGATCCATTACTGGGGTCTGCGTCGGCTCGGACTAATACAAACACATAAACCACTTAACAACACGCAGTGTTGTAGCCGAGTGCGCCCCCCGAGTCCGAGTCGCGAGTCCGCACCCCCGCAGTCCGAGTCCGAGTCCGCACCCCCCCCCTCGAGTGCCCCCCCCCCCGCCGAGTCCGCGGCCACAAGTCCGAGTCCGAGTCTGCACCCCCCCCCCCCCGAGTCCAAAGTCTGAGTCGAGTCCGCGCCACCCGAGTCCGAGTCCGAGTCCACACCACGCCGAGTCGCGAGTCGCGAATCCAGTTTTTGATAAAACAAAATGGGGCACAGACCGATAAGGGCCCTCACTTCTATGTATGCAGTGCTCGACACAGCGCGGTCGCCCGGTCGCCATGGCGACCAAAAACCTCTGCTGGGCGACTAAAAATACCAAAAACAAAATATTACAGGCCAAAATAAAATATTTGGGCGAGTACAATTTCTGTTCGGCGTTAACACAGCGCAAAACAAGTGCCTCAGATTTCGATTTATCGGCAACACTACGGCGGACACGGCTTTCTAGTCTTCCTATGTAATATAAATACGCTTTAGTACGCGATCGAATCGAAAACTGCCGCCGCGTCAAAAGCGCCGCGATCAAAGCCGCCGGCGGCACGCCTGACCTTGGGCTTGTTTATGAAGTAGCCGCGGAGGCTCTGCGACTGTTTCACGTGTATGCTAGGGGCACACTAGCTCTAGCCCGCGTACAGTTGCCGGCAGGCGTACAATAGCCTGCAGCAATCTGTACGCGATCCTCTCTCCAACAACAACAACGAGAA